GGCTCCTCCTTCCTGGAGCACCCGATGGACCCAATGGAGTGCAGCAAGAGCCCGAGCGCAGCGAGGTGCTCATCGATCTGGGTCACACGGGCCTATATTCAATGGGCGAACGCACTCCACCACTCCCTCATCAAGTTTGACGTGCCGCCTGGGCCAGGTGGTAGTGAAGTCCACGACATTGGCCAAGATCTGTGTCCTCACGTTGCCATCAAGGGACAAACTCCAGGAGTCGCTCTCGTTGGGGGACGGGTCACACCCCTTCCCGGAGGACCTGCTGGAAGATATCAGGGAGATCCTGGCGCCAGGGGCAGGCCGACCAGCGGAAGGCCAACCCTTCTTCCTGGACATCTTGCACAGCCTGGCGATGAACATTCAGGACCCCGACCACCAGTTTCCTCGGATCTGGAACAAGGGGTCCCACTGGGGGTCACGGACCCACCCCTAGTCTCGCCGGGCATCTGGCCACTCAAGAAGGAGCTAAAAGGGGAGGAGCCGGAGTTCCAGGAACTCCCTCATCCCAGCATTCGGGGTAACTACCCCTCAGCGGATCACTTCAGTGAGCTCATCCGTAGCACATTCCTGGAGGAGGTCCCCATGGGCATGGTAGATGGCCCTCTCACCAAGGTAGAGGCAGCAGCGCGCTGTGGCTGCAATATGGAGGATCTTTGCTCAGGCCCCCTAGCGGGCATCGACGAAGGGGACAAGATCCGCACCATCTACGATGGCTCGGTGGGCGGGGCCAATGACACCATCAGGAACCAGACAGTGGAAGGTAGGCACATACGGCATGGCCAGTGCCCAATCCTACTGAAAACGCCTGGCAGCCCTTCTACTCAGGGTCCTCTACGCACTTTTCCCTCAAGTGGATTGGAACTTCGTCTTTGTGGATGACTTCCTGTGGCTGCTTCGCAGCAAGGGGGCAGTGAACTTGGCGGTGGCGCTGTTGGCAACACTCCGGGCCTTGGGCACCCCGCTTAGCTGGAAGAAGACACATTTGGCGGAGGTCAACACGTGGCTGGGCTTCGTGGTCCACCCGAACATCCCGCAGGTTCTCATGGCCGCCAAGTGATGGAGGTCTTGCAGATCAGGGTGGAAGGGCAGGCGATGCACTCAAAGGACATCGAGAAGGCCCTGGGCCGCATCCAATGGGCAACTGCTGCACGAAGTCGATGCTTCAGCCACTGTGGGCCTGGAAAATGGCCACCACCACGGTGGGGAAACCCCCTAAGGTGGTCAGGATGCTGGCGTTCATGCTGCGGTTCCTCTTCAACACGCCCTTCGTCCAGTACTCCCCTTACTTGCCGAAGTCCTGTAACATGATCCTCACGCACCAAGGCCCTCTGTCCTCCCGGGTCCGACTCCCGGTGGGCAGTGACAATCAGGGCAACGTCATGGCGATGCTCAACCTTGGATCCAAGAAGCCCTACACCGCGGCTATCCTGATGGAGCTGGTCTTCCTGCTCCACACCCATGGCTGCTCGCTGGCGGCCAACCACGTGCCCCGGGAATTCAACCAGTGGGCCGATGAGCTGACGCACCCAGATGTCTCGGGGTTCGACAGGAACTCTGCGAGGAGTTCATTTTTCTCCCGCGTCTCCTGAATGGAGATGCATTTGATCTTAGCGTGGGCCCACCCATGCTCCCGTGACCGGAGCCGGTGGGTGACTCACTTCCCCTGGTGGCAGACCCCCCTGTGGCCTGGGTGCCCCTGGCCCCGGCCCAGGGGCGGGCGCTATCAGTCTGCACACTATTGATTGATACATCTATGTATTTATTTGTTTATATATCTACCTATCCGTTCATCTATTTATTTATTTGTCCATCCATCCAGATGTCTATCCATCTGTCTATCTATATATCTATATCTATATCTATATCTATATCTATATCTATATCTATATCTATATCTATATCTATATCTATCTATCTATCTGTTTATCTATGTATATCTATATCTATATCTATATCTATATCTATATCTATATCTATATCTATATCTATCTATCTGTTTATCTATGTATATCTATATCTATATCTATATCTATATCTATCTATCTATCTATCTATCTATCTACATCTATCTAATCTATCTAATCTATCTAATCTATCTAATCTATCTAATTTATCTAATCTATCTAATCTATTTAATCTATCTAATCTATCTATCTATCTAATCTATCTATCTATCTATCTATCTATCTAATGGATCTATCTATCTATCTATCTATCTATCTATCTGTCTATCTGTCGATCTATCTGTCTATCTATCTATCTATCTATCTATCTATCTAATCTATCTAATATATATATAATCTATCTAATCTATCTAATCTATCTAATCTATCTAATCTATGTATCTAATCTATCTATCTATCTATC